CTTTCTCAACAAGACTGAAACCCTAAGTGTTCAAGTAGCAGCCATAGAGAAATCACTGTCCTTGCTATTATTTGAGAAGTACCAAATTAAATCACATTGGCTGGAAAGTATAGACTTTATTTTTAATCTTTGTTACTCAGTAAGTTCATTTTCACAAACAGGAATTGAGGTCAGAGGAAATTGATTTTTTTCAAGGTCAGGAGAATAATTTTACGCAAGATTACTTCCATAAACATGTTTTGTGCTCTTTGAAATAAATGCATTGCTAAAGAAATGTCCCCTGAAGATTGGGTATATAATAAATAAAACAATGAGAGCTGGGGCTGGGAAGGTGGCTCAGTGATAGAGCACTTGCCTTGCATACCTGAGGCCCTGGGTTCGATTCCTCAGCACCACATAAGCAAAAAATTAAAAAGCCAGAAGTGGCACTGTGACTCAAGTGGTAGAGTGCTAGCCTTGAGCTAAAGAGCTGAGGGACAGCGCCCAGGCCCAGAGTTCAGGCCCCACGACCGGATCCAAAAAAAAAAAAAAAGAAATGAGAGCTTACTGGTTATCAAATTTGCTGTCATGTTGTAAACATTTAGGCTGTGACTGTCTAGACATTTCATTATTACTTCTTGAAGCATGAGGGACATTAATTTATCCACTTATGAGTCACTGTGGATATAAAAATAAATGAAATTGTTCTCATAATGTGAAATACCGTGTAACATAAAAACAATTTGATGTTCTTATTTAAGATTCCAAATTGGATGTTGATTAGGCAACAATATATTATGCTAAAATATGCTTTCATTAGTCAGGAAAGTGTGGGTAGGGGCATTTGCAATTTTTATGATTAAGAAGACAAAATCGCCAAAGCACGTGATCTTGGATATAAACAGAAAGCACAGTTACAATGTTGTTAAGGGAAACTGTGCCTGGGAAACTGCTACCAGATCATCAGTTGAAGAGGATCATTCTGCCTTTAAGCTTGAACAATAAAATTACTACTCTTCCTGAAGTTTCCCCTACAAAATAACAGTGAACTAGGTGAAAATATCCTGCCACCCTGCCATCGTTAACTTTGAAAGCTTCATTCCACTTCCCAAACAAAGAAAATTAACATGATTAACTTGTGTCGAAGAAAAGTAGGGTATATTTTTCTTTTTTGTCATGCTGGAGATTAAACTCAGGGCCTTGTACATGCTAAGCAAGTGCTCTATACCAATGACTTACCTTTCTACCCACAGAAACATTTTTATAATGAGAAAATACTATTTTTGTAATTAAGGAATAAGTATAAATAGTACTTTTCGGGGCTGGGAAAGTGGCTCAGTGGTAGAGTGCTTGCCTTGCGTGCATGAGGCCCTGGATTTGATTCCTTAGCACCACATAAACAGAAAAGGCCTGAAGTGGCACTGTGGCTCAAGTGGTAGAGGTCTAGCCTTGAGCAAAAAGAAGCTCAGGGACAGTGCACAGGCCCTGAGTTCAAGCTCCCGGACCAGCATAAAAATAAAAATAGTATTTTTCTTTCTTGAAAATTTTGGACTATATATTTGTATAAACAAGTGTTTGCAGACATTCTATACATATATTTTGGGTTAAAAGCAGAAATAAAGACTACTTTTTCCCCCTATTTATAAACATGAAAGCAATACTTTGAGATGTAACTAAAAGAATATTTCTAAGCACAACAAAAAAGCTCAGACAATAAATACAAAACAATAAGAGACTCTGGAAGGCAAAGATAAGGCAGACAGGCTAGTTATCTTTAAAGAGCTGTCAGTGAGTTTCCAGGCTTTGGTTTTGTTCAATAATATCTGGGTGCTGGAAACGCAGGCATACTGGCTATGCCCATGAACTCAGAAAAAAAAGCCTTCCCACCTGAATCACGCTCTTTCTAGGAGGAGGAGCAGGACAAGGACAGTCCAGCAAACGAGAAAACTTTTAGCTAATAACTGTCTTTGCAAAAAAGTTAACAAAGAAGAGCCAAACTTGTTCTTACAAAGTGCTGCTTAAGCCTGGCTCCAGTGGCTCACATCTGTAATCCTAGCTACTTGGAGGTTGAGATCTGAGGATTATGGTTCAAAGCCAGCCTGGGCAAGAAAGTCATGAGACTCTTTATCTCCAATTAACCACCAAAAAGCTGAAAGCAGAGCTGTGGCTCAAGTAGTAGACTGCTAGACTTGAGCATAAAAGCTCAGGGGCAGCATCTAGGCTATTAGTTCAAGCCCCATGACCAGCTTCAAAAAATAAAAAAAAAAAGAAAGTGCAGCTTGCAAGGTTAGTCTTTGCCTGGCATCTGGAAACCACCTAAAGTTACTACAAGAATATGAAACTTCTAAATAGTAAGAGTGACTCATTGTGCCTAGACTGTTCCTAAGCAATGTGACTTACACCACATACCTTGTGTTCCTTCTGGGAGATTGGAATTTCAATACGTTAGATGGTGGGTAACTTGATGACCAATCCCTCTTGGGCACTAAACTTCCTTGGTAGGTACCAAGTACCTCTTCTCACCATTCATTATTAGAGAAATTAAGAGCACCCAGTGTGATTCTACTGGGAGAGAATCTTTAGAACCTTTGAAAGTCATTGAAAATGAAATCGACTTTGATATGTGGAATCTATATTAAAAAGACATCAGAGGAGGGGTTGGGGCATGACTCAGTTGGTAGAACACTAGTCAATGAGTGAAAGGCTCAGGTACTAAGTTCAAGTCCGAGTCCCAGAACAACAAAAAAGATATGAAAGTTAACATATATGTTAACATGTAGTTAATGTATAGAAAGAGGAAAGGGACTAGTGTAAGGAGGAAGGGAGACAAAGGAGGATAATATGATATGGAGGGAATATGATATAATATGAGGAGGGAAATATGACACATGTACATTTTAAGTGCATGCATAAACATCATGCACATAAGTACATCGCAAATATGTATGAAAATTCCACAACAAAACCCACTACTTTGTATATTTCACATAGCTAATAAAATGCTACCTATGTATATATACTATAACACACACACACACACACACACACACACACACACACACACACACACACACACACACACACACACACACACACACACACACACACAGGATAAGGGACTTAAAAGTTTCCTGAAAGGAAGGATCCAAAACACAAGTATCAACATTTGCCACTTGCTTCAGACAGAAGGGAACTGCCTAAATTGCAAAAGAAGGAAAAGAATAGAGGATGAATACAGATATTGCTTATAGATGTAGAAAGGTTTCATGGCCAAAACAAAGCATAATGTCATCTTCCTAGAGTAAGCAAGTAAATTGGAAAGTCAGAAATTTGAAAGGAATGAATGTTTTAGTTCTTTGGGGGAAAGCAAATTAAATAGAGGACAGTAACTTGTCAGGAGCCTGAAGAAATCTGTCCTGTAAGGCAGATTCTAACTATCTGTAGCTCTTAAAATTGCTGACAAGAAAATGGGCAAGACGAATGGGTATTAAAAGAGAGAAAGTGGTACAAGTTAAATAAATAAAAAGATTTGTCTTCCATGTGGGAGGGCGAAGAAGGCTTTATGAAGGAAACATGTGAACTGGACAAGTGAAGGCAATCACCTTCTTTTTTTTTTTTTTTGTCAGTCGTGGGGCTTGAACTCTGGGCCTGGGCGCTGTCCCTCAGCTCTTCAGCTCAAGGCGAGCGCTCTACCACTTGAGCTACAGCGCCACTTCCAGTTTTCTAGTGGTTTATTGGAGATAGGAGTCTCACGGTCTTTCCTGCCCGGGCTGGCTTTGAACCGCAATTCTCAGATCTCAGCCTCCTGAGTAGCTAGGATTACAGGCGTGAGCCACCGGCGCCCGGCGGGAGTCACCTTCTTAAAACCAAAGTTTTATACATCATGCGTACCATAGCGTGTAAGGACTTTTTTTAAATTTTTAGTGTGTGTGTGTGTTCTTAATACCAAGTGATGCTGGGTGTTTCCAGCTCTGGATTTCCTATTAGAGTTTGACATTCAGTTTTTCAGGGGTCAAATGGACTTGTCCTTGAATTTCAGAAAGATGTATTGAAGTGGGATAAGACTCCATGCGACGCGGTTATCCTGACCGCAGGCCTTGCCCCTTTACTTCCCCAAAGCTCCCTCATTGGTTTCCCTCAGGCCTGGGTAGAATTCTATTCCCCATACCTTTCAGTGTGGCCCCAATAGAAAGGTCTAGTTGCTATAGAAAGGCCTAGAGGCTAGGGGAAAGGATGAGAGGTTATGGGAAGGACTACAGGATATTATTACATTCGGAAAAGCCTACTGGTTGTGAGGCCTGGAGGCTCTGGGAAGGCCTCAAAAGAAAGCTGCGCGCTGGTGGCACATGCCTGTAATCCTAGCTACCGGGGATGCTAAGATCTGAGGATCAACGTTCAAAGCTAGCCCGGGCAGGAAAGTCGGTGAGACTCTTCTCTCCAAAGAACCACCAGAAAACCCGCAGTGGCGCTGTGGCTCAAGTGGTAGGGCGCTAGCCTTGAGCAAAAAGAGCTCAGGGACAGCGCCCAGGGCCCGAGTTCGAGCCCCGTGACCGGCGCACGCGCACACACACACACACACACACACACACACACACAACCACAAAAGGGCCTCAAGTCATTAGGTCTGAACGGTCACCTTTCCAGCCTGCTACACCATGCGACACCGCCGCCTCCAGGCCCGCGAAGCCCTCGGCCCACAGGGAGGAGCCCCGGCCCCCCATTCCCATTCCAACTCTGCGACGTCACATTTCCCGCGCGCCCACCCCACGGGCGGACGCATGCGCAAACCCATCAACAACCTGCGCGCCTTCTCCCCCGCCCCCACCTCAGGCATCTCGGGCCTCGGCACGGCGGTCGGAACCTCGATAAAGTGTGGCTTCTACGTCGCCGGGAGGCGATTCCCAGCCTTGGCTTTCTAGAATTGGCTTCCTACGAGGAGTGACGACAAAACAGCCGCCGCAGCCACAGCGCATTTCCGGTTCCCACCACCCACGTCCGGTTCATCAGCCGGTTCCGGTCCCGCCCCCTGCTTCCGGTCGCCTTTGGTTCCGCTGCGGCGGGTTTCTGCGTTCGCTGCAGCCGCCGCCGCCGGTTCCGCCGCGCTCCAGGTGAGGCGACGCGAGCTGCTGGGATGCGCCGCCCGCGGGGGCGACGTGGGGCTCGGGGGTCGTGACTTGGTTGCCCGCGTCGCGTGGACCTCGACGGGCTGGGGGACGTGATTGTCCTGGGCCCGACGCCCAGGCCCCTGGCCCCGGCCCGCGGGGCGGCGACGGTGGCCGCGGCCTTCTCGCCTCTTTGCAGCGCTCCCCGCGCGTTAACGTTGTTTTGGATCTCCAGACCTCGTTCCTCCCGCCGGCTGCCCCCCGCCCTCCTTAGAGCGGAACCCCGCATCCCGTCCGCTTTGCCTCCCGTGCGTGTCCACGCCCGTCCGTCAGTCCACCCAGCTCTCTACCCTACACCAACCACCTGACGGCCGACGACTGACCGGGCAGACGCTGATGGCTCCTTTTGCTAGTGTTGTTTTAAAGTCTTCCGCAGCCTCGTCAAGTAAACGGACCCCTTTGCTTCCACTTGTCGTCTTTGCCACTTTGGGGGGGCTGTGTGTCAGTACTGGGGTTTGAACTTAACTGTACCTTAGCCTTTTTCACTCAAGGCGGGCCCTCTTAACATTTTTACTTGGGGCTTTTTAGTGTAGAGTGTCACAGACTTTCCTGCCCGGGCTGGCTTTGAGCTTCATATCTCAACCTCCTTATTAAGAGGATGAGCCACCGGGGCCCAATCTTTTTCTTCTTTTTAGTAGTGCGGTCTTGCGCATATTATTGTAACTTTTCTAGGTTTCTGGGTGTCTGCTGAGGACAGTAGTTGTTAGTCCAGGATTGTGAAGATTAAATGAGATGATTTCATTAAATTGCTTAGAATGCCGCGGTCTACAAGTACTTGAAAAGGTTTGTTCATCAGCACGTGGAACTTGTATGCCTGGCACATGCTTGTTTTTAAGACAACACATTGAAGGACCCAGAGCAGTAGCCCTCATATTTTAGAATGTATCAAAGATAGTGGGGTGAAGCTAGATCAAACACAAATTGTCCATCTCCGATTTCATTTCTAAGACATTATCAGATTAGGTCAAGGCTTTGGTTGGTCCAGAAACCACATTGAGAACCACTAGTCTGGAAATGAAATGATTTATGAAAGGTCATCCTGGAACTCTGGTGATCTCATCTCAAGTTCGTCTCTGTCCATAACAACATATATTAGTGCTCAGTGCCTTCCTTGCTCTTGAAATTGTTTTTGTTTCCATCTCCTGTAGTAAAAACTGTATTTCACTTTGGCTCAAAGACCATTTATTAGAGCAAGTTCTGTCTAAAATGACATATATTGCCTAAATGGAACACACTTGCTTAAAAAAATACCAGTAGATCATATACACATGAGTTAACATAAATATAAATACAAATGTGAAACATTTTTATATACGTAAATGTGAATTTGTGGTGATCTGTACTACTGAACATGTTAATGATAAATACTTTGTTTTCGAATGGGTTTTCATATTGAGATTTAATGTTTGAAGGAAGCAACCAACATTGAGGTGTTTATGAGACTAATAGCTACTATGTAAAATGTGTCTGCTTGGTATGGAATCTGTGTAATTTGTATTTAGTCAACTTTGATGCCATAACCCTGTAGCTCAAACTTGAGACAGAATTGTGGTGTAAGGAGATAGGGTATTCAAGGCTTAGTCAGAATTCCTGTTCTGCCATGGGCTAAGTGCCCATGAGTACATTACATAGCTTCTCCAAACTCCTGTTTTCTTAATTATAAAAGAGAAAACATTCTCATCAACAACCTTGTTAAATAAAATTATCTGTTTAAACTGGCCAATTTATAAAGTAGTTTGTTTTGCACAGTGCCTATGCAAGAACAGGAACGTAATAAGATTGAAGTTTACAATTTATTTAATCAGTACTTGTTATGTAGTGCCTACTGTGTATCCAGCATTATGTAACTACAAATACTAATTTAATTCTGGTAAGAATCCTAAGAATAAGGGATATCCTTGTTTTCCAAATGAGGAAACACAGGCAATGAGAGTCAACCAGCTACTAAGTGGAACAGCTAGGGAGCCTGACATTAGTCTAAACTAGAGTCTGCCCCTAATCACTGCCTCTCAAATGTTAAATAAACATGGATGGTCAGTCAGGGAGGAACTTGCCTGTAGCACAAATTCAACCAAGTAGAAGAGGTATAGGCAATTCACTGTTGTACTTTTCTAATGGAACATCAAGGAGAATCTGATAAAATATTAAGAAAAAAAAGTAACTAAGCCCCCAACTGGGAGTGGAGTAACTTGAATTTTGGAGTCCTGGTAATTTTTAGTATTCTAGAAGCACTTCCGTATGGAGAAACATCTGTTTCTCTACAACCAAATTGTCCACTATAACACATACTCCACATGCTTGTAAAACTCAGTTACAAGTTTTTCTCTGATGTGTCAGTTTCACTTGCTCATTTCTTTATGCTTTCTTTCCCTGTGTGTGTGTGTGTGTGTGTGTTTGTATGTATATGTGTGTATGTTCTGTACAGAGGCTGCCTTCTCCTATGCTTGAAGAATGGCTCTCCCGATCATCGTAAAATGGGGTGGACAGGAGTATGCCGTGACCACCCTTTCAGAAGATGATACTGTGCTAGACCTCAAACAGTTCCTCAAGACCCTCACTGGAGTGCTGCCAGAACGCCAAAAGTTACTTGGACTCAAGGTTAAAGGTACCGTTCTGCTCTCCTTACATTGGATTTTTTTGCATTGATGCTTATGAATTTTTGTATTTGCTGTTTTCTCTAGTTTTCTGTAGTAATTCTCTTTCAAAATTTAGGTAGGAATAGACCTGAAGTGGTTTGAATGGGTAAACATAAGAATATGAAAGATTACTTGAAAACACCCACCACTGTTAAGATTACTTTTGTTTTGCTTCCTCTGACAGTTGGTGCTCGGGTATTAAAACATTGACAGAGAAGTCCCAGGTGAAATGATCATTTATTTTCTGATGTTGATATTTTAACTATGTTTTCACCACAGCAAGGGCCTCCTCCTCCACCCAAATTATCTCTTCTGTTTCAGAAGTAAAGATGACATGTAAAATATATCGGCAGGGTTCGTATTTAATATATAAGGGGCTTTTATGGTTTCCATCTGTCAATATAATTGTAAATCTGTCATTGTGTTTTAGGCATTCACTTCTCTGGGAAGCCTCTGGAAGAAAAAAATATGGTCTTGTTGAATTTAATTTGTCTAGTTAGTTGAATAAAAGCATTCTAAGGTAGAAAGGGGGAGAACAGCCTTTATATTAGTTATGCATTTGTATTATCCCTGATGACTGATTCGACAGTAACAATTTAATGTAAGCCTATCCTACTGTGGCATCTGTACTGAATCTCTTAATGCTAGGGGTTTATATAATGGAATAGTGAAATTAGCTCCTGGACTTTAGTGAGAAAACAGTCATTTGCTTGTATTGTAGGCAAGCCTGCAGAAAATGATGTTAAGCTTGGAGCTCTCAAACTGAAACCAAATACTAAAATCATGATGATGGGAACTCGTGAGGAGAGCTTGGTAAATGTTTAATTTTTGTTACCATTTGTGCCTATGAAAATACAATTTATGCTATCCTGTTTCATCATAGCTTTTAATTGTGGTAAAAATTGTCGGCCTGGTAGTAATTAGAAATGAGAACTTTACTGTGGACATGTTTTCACCAGAAGAAAGTATTGGGGAACTTTGGAGTATGTAGTTAGCTGTAAGTATAGAAGAAGCCCGAGTGGTCAAAGTTGACATGGCAGATCTACCAGGGAACATATAGATAGAGTTATTAACAATGGAAATCCCCCCAGGGTGTGTGTTAGAAAGACTCCTAAACTCCAGTTGCACCTCATTTGTTATTAATGCTGTGCATGTGTTTGCTATGTGAAAGGTTGTGTGGTAAAACAAAACCTCTTTGCATCTCATCAGGAAGATGTTTTAGGTCCACCCCCTGACAATGATGATGTTGTCAATGACTTTGATATCGAAGACGAAGTAGTTGAAGTAGAAAACCGGTAAGTGTCTTGCACTTGAGAAGAAATTTTCATGTGAGGCAAAATGGATGTTTCATCTGAATTTGTGTTTGTTTTTTTAGAGAAGAAAACCTACTGAAAATTTCTCGCAGAGTAAAAGAGTACAAAGTGGAAATACTGAATCCTCCCAGAGAAGGAAAGAAGCTTTTAGTACTAGATGTTGATTATACATTATTTGGTAAGTCAGTCGTGTTTTTCATCTTCTGTCACCTACAGCAAATGGTTTTGTTTTCCTTCCCCCCCCTCCACTAATTAACAGGAAATATTTGAAAGCTGCTTTTATTATTACAAAGTAAATCATTTAATGTAGGAAATACACATAAACAAAAAAAGTCATCTGTTATTTTAAGATCCAGAGATGAACACTCTTAATATTTTATTGTATTTTTATTTATTTATTTTTGTCAGTCATGGGGCTTGAACTCTGGGCCTGAGCACTGTCCCTGAGCTCTTCAGCTCAAGGCTAGTGGCCTACCACTTGAACCACTCACAGCTTTTCCTGCCTGGGCTGGCTTTGAACCTCGATACTCAGATCTCAGCCTCCTGAGTAGCTAGGATTACAGGTGTGAGCCACCGGCACCCAGCTCACTCTTAATATTTTAGTATGAGTTTATATATCCTTTTTTCTTTGACTTAATGATAGATTAAACCTCATCTCAGACATTAAATATTGTTTGGATATATTCCTCTCTCATTTTTTCTCTGTTTATACCTACACACACACAAACACACACATTTTCGCTTGTTCTGCTTTGTGGATACATCATAATTTAATGATACTAATCCTGATTGTCATTGTTGCTGTTCTAGTCCTGTGGCTGACCTCGATACTGTCCCTGAGCTTTTTTGCTCAAGGCTTGTGCTCTACCTTTTGAGCCACAGCCCCCACTTCTGGCTTTCTGGTAGTTAATTAGAGATAAGAGTCTCACAAACTTTCCTTCCCAGGCTGGCTCAAACTGTGATCCTCATGTCTCAGCCTCTTGAGAGAGTAGCTAGGAATGCAAGCATGAGCCATCAGCACTTGGCTTAATTCTGATTTTTTTTTAAAGCACTAAAAAATGCTTACCTTTTTATGAGGAATATTTTAAAATAATATTGTGATATTTTTATCCCTTTTTTCCTGTTTATTTAGGTTGGTTGAAGTCTCGAATATAATATTTAGTATGTCACTTAAAAAAGGAAGCTGCTCATTTCAATCTTTAGTATTGATATTAGAATTTATTTCTAATCCTAGACTTTCCATGCATGTCATAATTTAATGTATACTTATTTTAAGGTTTAATGAGTTATTAGCTAGTCATTTTGGTACAATGTAATTATATCTAAATTTGTGTTTGGAGTCCAGTTTGTTTTTCGCTTCATAAAAATGTAAATATCTAAAACAAGAGGAGAAAACCTTTAGCATTTTCTTTTTTTTTTCCTCCCTGTTGTGAGGCTTGAACTCAGAGCTTGGCACTGTCCATGAGCTCTTTTGCTCAAGGCTAGTACTCTACCACTTTGAGCCATAGCTCCATTTCCCGTTTTTGAGCTCTTAATTGGAGGTAAAAGTCTCACAGGGACTCTTCTGCCTGGGCTGGCTTCGAACCTTAGTTCTTAGATCTTGGCTTCCCGAGTAGCCAGGATTACAGGTGTGAGCCACCAGTGCCCAGCAGCATTTTCTGTGTAAGCTTGGATTCTCACTTACGCGCTTTGCCCCCTGAGCAAAATTCATTGATTAAAATTAGACTTCAAGGATATTGTATTTTGTGAAACATTTCTTTGTTGGCCTATGTAATTCAGTTTGGAGGAGTTTGCAAGTGAGTATTAATGTTACACTTCATAATAATTTTATTGCTGTATTATCCATGATAAACTCGTAATCATTTATGTTCAATTTTCTTTTAGATCATAGGTCTTGTGCAGAGACTGGGGTAGAATTAATGAGGCCTTATCTTCATGAATTTCTAACATCTGCATATGAAGATTATGACATTGTTATTTGGTGTAAGCTTTTTTCTTTATGTTAGATTTCCATGGGAATAAGACTGTTTCTTGTATTCTTATACATGACTTTAAAAAACCTGTGTTTAAATTCGAAATTTTTCATTTTTTTAACAAGTTTTCTAATGGGACAAGTCTAATTTCTTTATATCACACGTAATCTTATATATAGGTTTGCCAAATAACACTGTGATGGTTAAATATAGGAGAAGAATAGATAATGAAACCTGAATAAAAATGGCTTTCTTTTCTTAACATCCCTACTTTGACTACTGTGGAATCCTTGATGCCTGGGGTGTTACTGCATCAGTAGAGCAGTCTTTAGTTCAGTGACATTATTTTTCCACAACTTGCTTAGAAAATGAAGCAGTACATTGATCTAAATCCCACCTCCCTGCAAACACTTATAGTTACCTTTTGGCAATGTCATAAGGAGAGTTACTTCTTGGCAATGTCATAAGGAAACAAGATTTATCATCATTGTGGATTAAGTAAAATACCATCAGTCAAAGGTATTGCTTTTAATTGTAATAGGACTTACATGAGAAGCCAGTTGGTTGCAATCTGTAAGTCTCCTTTGTACTTTTCTTTATAATTTACATTGTTCAGTAACCGAGTTCATAACTTTTAAGATTAAAAGCATGATTAAAATACAAGAATTTCCTAGTTTAGTAATATAGGGTGAAGAGTGCTTCCTGTTGAGCAAATTTTTTTTCAGCCTCAGTTCTGATATAACATATGAGAAGAAAGTTAATGTCTGAGTGTCTGGTGATAACTAAACATATTAAAGGCTGATTGTAAGAAGGAAACGTTGGTATAGCAATGAGCACCATGTCAAACATAATAGTTACTTAATGACCAAGTCCATCAGCTCTAGTCTGTTTCTCATCTGGGAATTAGTCACAAAACAGGTAATAAATTTTAAACCAATTTCCTTTTCAGGATTGCTACTTACTATAGATAAAACAGTCTAAAATTCAGTTCACTGTAAGCTGATTCTTTTGCTCTACTTATAGATATAATAGTCTAAAATTTAGTTCAGTATAAGACGATGCTTTTGCTCTTTGAGGTTTTGTTGTTGTTGTTGTTGCTTTTTGAGAACTTACCTATTTCCCTTTAAATACACACACTGGTGAGTGCATATTTGTGCACATGCGCACACAGTCTTTTTCCTTTTTAAAAAATGGCATTTTTGTTGTGCTGAGGGTTAAACCCAGGGCCTTGTGCATAGTCACAAATACTACTGAGCTACGTCTTCAGACTCAGTTTTTATACTTATTAACATCTGTTTAAATTTAGTCCAGTAATCTGGAACCAAGAAAATAAAATGTGGGTTGAATTTTAATGTCAACAGTCCCAAAAGTGGTTAATGTCTGACAGTGAACAAAGGTATACCGCAGGTATACTTTATGAATTTGTTTGTTTCTTTGTTACAAGTTGCTAGACTTCATGAGGTGGAGTTTGCTGAGGCTGACAGAGCAGAGCTTCAGTAGGAACTGCTGACCCATAACATGCTATGCTTATATACACCTGTGCACAGCCTGCATTTAGGAATGCAGTAGAAACTGAGATCCAGGCCGCCCAGACGTTCAAGTTTGGAATTTATAGAGATCAGTGGCTGAGCTGGCTTTAACAGGGAGTTTGTATCTTGATATATAAATTTCCTAATACCCAGTTCTTTTGAACATTGGTTATCTGTGTCTTAGAGATAAACATTATTTCTTTTCAGAAGACACACTAAAGTAAGATTTTTAACGAGTATTTGAAAGGAAATTGAATAAATTTAGTAGGGTTCTGGTTGTGATTCATTGAAACTTTAGTCTTGTTGGGAAGCTTACTCAAAAGGAATTTACACTTTTCATATGTATTGTATTATTCCTCATGTTTTAGCTGCAACAAATATGAAGTGGATTGAAGCTAAAATGAAAGTAAGTGTTAGAAACAAGCTGTTTAAAATGTTTTGAAACTGCATTTGTCATGTTAAAATTTTGAATTAATACTATTCTTCCTGGAGGACTTGAATAGATAAATAAATGCCAGTATTGGGAGTAGAAGTATGTAAAGTACATGAAGTTAAAGGTGGGTTTACTGAGTGTCTCAGCCATTTCCATGGGGAAGTCAGCTCTTCCTACTTCTTCCCGCTGTTGCACAATACTTTCCCAGTGGTGTGCAGTCCTCAAGAGGCGATGCTTTTCTAAGATGGGCAGTTGGGAAGTAACTTACTTCTCTTCTTCACACAGATTTAGCTGAGTGAAACTAAAATCCTGGCTGGTTGTTTAGAAACAGTGGAGGCCACCAGTATAGAAAGTTAACGTCTTGGGGAACTTGGTGCTGGAATACCCAGAAAGCCCGGAATATCCCACCTCACATTATTCTAGTTTAACACCATGAACATTTGTGTTTATAGGAACTGGGAGTGAGTACGAATGCAAATTACAAGATTACCTTCATGTTGGACAGTGCGGCCATGATAACAGTGCACACTCCGAGGAGAGGCCTGATAGATGTAAGAACTCCTGCTTTTAAGGATGGGTTTATTTTCAAGTGTACTGTCCAAAGTTATGCTGAGAGAGAAAACTACAGAAAGTTTACAAACTCATCGGAGTGGATAGTAAAGTGGCGGCTGAACTCTGACACACAAAATACGTATTTTAGGTTGAGGATTTGAACTTTAATGATAATAATTAAGCACTTCACAGCAGGAAGTTGTGGCCTTGGGTAATTGTCCTATGATGATGGCAGGCAGGAAAGCGGAGTCACACAAGTAGATGAGAAAAAAGCTGAATGTTGAGGAAGACACCGTCCCCTAGGTGAAACTGGTACTGAAAATGCATATGTCACTGTAATGAGTGTATATCACTAATAGAGTGATGTCTGTATAACACACATACCAATAAGAGCCACTAGAGAAAAGCACTGAACTAAACAATTAAAGGTTTGTTTTGTTTTCGGTACTGGGGATCAAATCTAGGTCCTCATGCATGGTAGGCAAGCTCTACCACTTGAACCATGCTCCTAGTCCTTCCTTTGTCTTTTGTTTCTGAAATGCAGTCTTGTTAACTTTACCCAATCTTGGCCTCAAATTCACTCCTGCCTCTACTGCTTAAGTAAGTAGGATGGAGGGCCTGAAGTACCATGCCTAGCAAGGGCTTTTCACTCATCAAGTAACTCTCTAATATGTCAGGCACCAGCTATCTACAAGGCCCTGGATGGACTGTTGGTAATTTGACATGAGTGAAGAAGAGACCATATGTTCAGAAAGAATTGGGAAGAATGTGGATATAAGAACAGCTTAGATGAGACAGTACTAAAATCACATTCATCAGTAAAATGACTTAAGTGACTGGCACTCATCCAGTAAAAGAAATACTACATACATCAAGAGGAAAATATAATGTATTACTTACTAAACTTTAATAGTACATGGCCCGAATCTTAACATTATAAAATATCTTAGTTTCTAAGCCAGGCACTGGTAGCTTGTGCCTGTAATCCTAGCTACTCAGGAGGCCAAGATCTGAAATTTGATGTCTTTTGAAGCCAACCTGAGCACGAAAGCTTGTGAGACTTAACTCCAATTAACCGCCAAGAAGCCAAAGTGGAGTTGTGGCTCAAGTGGTAGAGCACCAGCCTTGAGTACAAAAGCTCAGAGGGATAGTGCCCAGGCCCTGAGTTTATAAGCCCCAGGACCAGGACAGTGCCCAGGCCCTGAGTTTATAAGCCCCAGGACCAGCACACATACAAAAAAAGAATCTGGCTTATTGTGTCTGACATTCCTTAGTAGTATTAGGACACTAGAAAGGAAAAGGCTATTTTCTTCTTATTATGAAGAATAATAAACACAGCCTTTGTCAATATTTATTACCATTTAGTCTCATGTAGTTTCTTGTTGCCATATGGGTGCTGCTAGCTCACGCCTTTTTACTCTTTACTCAGGAGGCTAAGCTGTGAGGATTGTGATTTGAAGTCAGTCCCAGCAGGAAAGCCTATGAGACTCTTATCTCCAGTTAACCATGAAAAACCTAGAGCTGTTCCTCAAGTGGTAGAGTGCTAGTTTTGAGCAAAAAATCTGAGGGACAACACCCAGGCCCTGAGTTCAAGCTGCAGGACTGGCACCAAAATACAAAGAGAGAAATTTTAGGCGGCCATGGCCATGTCACAGGAGGAAGGAGCTGCGTTGTCTTCACAGCATTGTACAGCGCTCTGTGTTTAAGGAAGGGTAACTACTGATAAAATCTGAACTCAGTCTAAACTTTTATTCCAAGGTAAAACCTCTCGGAGTTATATGGGGAAAGTTTTCTGAATATTACAGCAAAAAAAACACCATTATGTTTGATGACATAGGAAGAAATTTTCTAATGAATCCCCAGAATGGACTAAAGGTAAGACATATATGCTATATGCTTATATAACCAGAACTCCAGTAGAATTTTTTTCTTTTTTGCCAGTCCTGGAGCTTGAACCCAGGGCCTGGGCGCTGTCCCTGAGCTTCTGTTGCTCAAGGCTAGCACTCTATCACTTGAGCCACAGCATCATTTCCAGCTTTTTCTGTTTATATGGTACTGAGGAATCGAACTCAGGGCTTCATGCATGCTAAGCAAGCACTCTACCACTAAGTTACATTCCCAGCCCAGAATTTTTAAGTTTTTGGAAGTTCAGTCACCACCACCTAATGTGGTTTTAGTTAGTGATGGAGCATGTGTATGAGGGTCATCCCAGACGATAACCATTCCCAGTGCCTAGCACTTGCATTGTTTACAAGAGTTTCAGTATACTAATACTATGTGTTACCACTGCCCTCAGTACCCAGGCCCATAATATGATGAGGCTGTCTTTATCCACTAACTACATCTCCATTCCAGCGTGTAATAAAACAGTAGTGTCGCCTCTCGTGGGTAGGCTTCAGAATGTCTCCCTGTTGTCAAGTGACACCTGATTGCACTGTGTTTTTATGGTCACAGGCAAGACAACCTAAGAATTTAGAAAAGTTCATATGAAAGCGAACATTTAGTATTTCACATGGATTTCTCCTCGGTAACCTGACTCATGCCTGAGTTTTACTCTAGGTTAGCTCTCTTCCTTGTCTTATAGCACCAAGTTCAGGACTACATAAAACTTAGTGCTGGGATTTCCACTCACTTTAGTACATAATACAGAGACAGCTATTCCATGCTGGAAATCCCAGCACTAAGTTTTATCTAGTCCTGAACTTGGTGCTATAAGACAAGGAAGAGAGTCTTGCGGAAAGAACACTTCTGAAGGCTTCCTTATGGGACTCCTACTTGGGTCTTCAATGAGAATAGTGTAAGGGACATGATGCTAACCTATATCCTGAAGTGCCACAAATACAAGAGCTGTAGCCTTGGGGGAGAAATGGATCCATTACCCTAAGAAAATGATTTTTGTTTTGCACCCACAAACATAATGAAGGGATTTTTAGTAGTTGTGCAAACTTCATTTTTATTATCTACCTAAGAAAAGAATGATACAAGAAAATTTAGCTGATGGAGATAGTTAAATTCCTAAAAACGGTTTTAGGTTAACTTTATTTTGAATGAAATGGTATGAGACTCAGCAGTACGAAGCAAGAGTAAGCACTATTCCACACCCTCTTATGCACCAGTGTCAGCTTCAGACTGTAGGAAGTCAAGAGTTCTTGATCGGGCTAGGTATATGGCTCAGTGGTAGAGTGCTTGCTTTGCATGCATGAGGCCCTGGGTTTGATTCCTCAGCACCACATAAGCAGAAAAAGCCGGAACTGGTGCTGTGGCTCAAGTGGTAGAGTGCTCACCTTGAGCTGAAGAGCTGAGGGACAGCGCCCAGGCCCAGAGTTCAGGCCCCAGGACCGACCCCGCCCCTGCCCTAAAAAAAAAAGAGTTATTGGTCATCCATATTCTCTGACTGCTTCTTGAACTCAGCTGCTTTCACAATTATTTTTATCATTGATGCCCTCAATGATATTGTAGTCTCAGTAACTCCAATCAACAGGACAGTATAACTTTTAGTAGCTCTCCTTACCACAATATAAAACTTGTTTTCTTCCTAATAGATAAGACCTTTTATGAAAGCACACCTAAACCGGGATAAGGACAAAGAACTTTTAAAATTAACTCAGTACCTCAAAGAAATAGCAAAATTAGATGACTTTTTGGAGCTAAATCACAAATACTGGGAAAGGTAAGTGCCAATTGCTTATTCTTAAAGTGGTTATACCCATGAATACAAAAAACTTGCAACTCCAGTATACACATAAATCCTTAGTATTTATTTTAAATGAATGAATTCTATAATATTTTCTAGTGACATTTCCCAAGCTTTTCCCCCTTCCCATTTCTTGGTCATATTGGGATCAGACTCAAAGCTTCTGTTGCCAGGAAGGCATTCTACCATTGGAGCCGCACCTCCAGCTTTTTTTGCTTTAGTTACTTTCAGGTAGGATCTTGTATATTTGCTTGGGGCCACCGATCGAGATCCTCCTACTTCTCTTGAATAGCTGGGAGTACAGTTGTCAACGCACTGTGCTGATAACACATAGCTTTTTATTAGTTTTTTAACCTTATTAAAACAAAGCAGGCATTTCTATTCCAGTGTTCACATTACAGATGATTGACAGTTTGGATTCAGCACACTGCCATAGAGCCTCAGTCTAAACTCATCTGTGTTTTCTGAATCTTGAGAACTCTGCTGCTCCCACTCACACTGCTAATTGGAGTTCACCACTGAGACACGGGGAGGTGGTATACACCATGAGGAAGAAGCTGGTTTTTTATTAACATAACTGCATCTTTCCTTCTGCTATCAGAGTCTCTCAGCATCTATTCAGTTATTAGGTTTATGCAAGGAAAACAGAATCTTTAATGGGGGTGTGAGTTCCTAACAAGTTACCAGTGTACAGTAACTGCACATTGAAAAGAAGACAGAATGGCCTTGTAGTTAAGAATGCATTTCTGGAGCTTCTAGTGAATCTGGCACTTGCTGACAGTGTGAACTTGGACACAGTGCTTCACTCTGGCCTGTGATGGGTCATTTCTGGCAGGAGCTCCACCCAGAGCCATCATGAGGGCACAGAGGCAGTCAGCAATCCGTGACTAATTTCTACTTCTCTGTCGTAGAGATAGCCTTTAAGAGCAGACTGAGATTTTCCGTGTCTTCAGCATGATAGAGCTTTGATGTGTGTGTTTGATTTCTTACAGGTATCTGTCAAAGAAGCAAGGACAGTAGTTAACAAGTTTTCCGGGCAGTTAGTGAAGATACTTGAGATCCATGAACTTTTGCTTTTCTGCTAGAAATTATTATGATAGTGCTGGACACTGAAGCAATGCCAGACTGCTTATCTTCGGTCTTCCAGTTTTTTGTAAATTTAATTTTATATTTTTTGAAGATCATAGCAATATGCTAGGAAATTCTTTTTCCCCTTATATGACTATACTGTTACTCTTGAAAAATGGTATTTTCTCCAGCATTTGTTGAGGTGTTTTTCCACCCAGCCCCTCATCTCCCTCCCCTCCTTCCCCCCCCCCCCCCAAAAAAAAAAGGAAAGAAAAAGTTGAAAAAGAAAATGGGAGAGAATTGAGTGCTCAACAGCATCATTCTGTAACTTTGGAAACAAGTCATGTCTTGTGTTTTTTGTCTCACTGTTATCAGCTGCTGAGATCTAACAGAACCTATCTGGGAACTAGCGCTTTCCACCTAAGAACCAGAAGGAAACAAAAAAAGTTAAATAACTAGTTTGTTAACCTTTAAAGTACCAGAATTTTGTATTTCTTTGTCATAGGTAGCACCTCTGTTCTGGAGTCTGTTAGTTCACCTCTGAATTCTGAGCTGTCTCAGTCTGGTCTTTATTCTTGTCAGTGTTCTTGAAGTAGAACTGGAGAGCATCAGTCATGATACGACTCTGTGGTAGAGGAATAGAAAATGAGGCTGAAGAACACAGTGTAAGGCACAAGCATGCATTTCTCTTTGGTGGCTAAGTAGACGCACTCTGCTTGAGACCATTGTGATAATGGAGGTGGCACGTATCACCAATTCAGTTCTAAAAAGCATGAACACACAGTTTTGTCCTATTCCTGCTCTATCTTGTATAAGTGCTAACACTTTCAGTGAACCTATCTAGCCACAAGATTAAATATATGTTATTTGCAATGCTTAAGCCTGCAGATATATAATGTGACCACTGTTTTGTGTTGACAGTATTGCTTTCTACAGTTTCCGTATTTGAAAGGAATTGATCCTTTTAAATAAATATGGTGTATATTGTTCTTATGGGACTATTTCAGTGGTGTAAATAATAAATATCTTTTCATAAAACATTGGTTATGTGTCCTCTATTACCTTGAGTATATTTGTACCTCTTTGTTGTCACACAACAAACATGAGGTTCACTCTTGGACCTTTTAAAAAATGAATTGTGAAGCCAGGCACCAGTGGTTCCCACCTGTAAATCCTAGCTAGTCAGGAGATGGTCAGGAGGATCTCAGTTCAAGGTCAGCCTGGACAAGTTTTCAAGACTCCCATCTCAGCCAACAGCTGAGCACCATGGTTCACATCTGTCATCCTAGCCATGGAAGAAAGCAAAAATAGGCTTGCAGTCCAGGCAGGCTCAGGCTAAAAAACAAACCCTGTCAAAAAATAATGAGCAAATGGGCTGGGGGCATGGCTCAAGTGGTAGATCATTTACTTGCCTAGCAAATATGAGGCCCTGAGTTCAAACCACAGTATCACCCCTAACCACCTGAAAAGATACATGTGAGTAGGTGCTACACCTTTAATCCCAGCATCTGGGAGGCAGAGGCAAGAGGATCAGGAGTTGGAAGCCAGCCTGGACTACATAGTGAGACTCTCAAAAAAAAAAAATGTGTGTGTAGAGCACAGGATGCCAGTGGTTCATACCTGTAATCCAAGCTACTCAGGATCTGAGGATCACAGTTCAAAGCCAGCCTGGGCAGGAAAGCCCATGAGACTTACCTCCAATCAACCATCAGAAAGCTGGAAGTGGTGCTGTGGCTAAAGTGGTAGAGCACTAACCTTGAGCTGAAGAGCTTGAGGGACAGCGCCCAGGCCCAGAGTTCAAGCCCCATAACTGACCCCCCCAAAAAAAATCAGGTTTCATGGCCAATTAGGTTAAATGACTTAAGCACACCTCTTCAGAAATAGTTACAAATTCATGGGCAACAGGTTATAAAGGTAGATGTGCATTGTGTAGAAAAAGAGACTTATGTAATTAAAATGGTTGAATTAAGATGTGTTTCTTAATCATGAAGCTATATTTAAATAGGCAAAAATAGAATATTAATTTCATTGGTACATTTTCCCAGTTAATGTCCCAACATAAAAAAAGATACTTTGTAGCTGCACACTGGTGGCTCATGCCTGTAATCCTACCTCCACAGGAAACTGAAATCTAAAATCACCATTTGAAGCCAGACAGATCAGGAAAGTAAGTGAGACTCCAATTAACCACCAGAAAACTGGAAGTGGCACTGTGCAGCTTAAGTGGTAGAGCGCTAGCCTTGAGCAAAAGAGCACAGGGATAGTGCCCAGGTCCTGACCCAATAAATAAGAAGATACCTTGTTATTCCAGAGTAAGTGCAGAAGGAGTGTAACCTCTTACAGCATAAACTAAAACACTGAAAAAAATAAACTCATAGATCAAGAAAGCCGATGTTTTCCAATCAGTATTAACTAAAATACAAAGTTCAGCCAAACCCCTAGGAAACAAAGGAAGTTCCAAAAATCATTTCCAAACACTAGATGGAGCTGAAACCGAAGTTGAGTGGCCAATGTGCTGGATGTAGCTGCTCTGGGAAAGCATTCCCAGTGTCTGCTTACTGGCAACACTGGACAGGTGTGATTCATGCTACCCCAAGGTCTGGGAGTTTTAGTGTGTCTTCTGCAGGTTAATCTACCAAAGGTAGGATATCAGTTGATAAATGGACGGGATGGTCCATGGCATAACCAACAGAACGTGGCAATAGCCCATTAATTGGGATGAATACTCCGTGGAAGCCAGCTGTTACCCTGAACCTGAACACAATTAGCATCGAATTGAAGACCGCAGCTCATCATTGCCTCTGATTCAGAGGTGGTTCTGAGATCTGGTAGCCCTGCATACTTGTGTTAACATTCATGGGTTAGCAGACTTCTCGCAGTTGTTCAGTGGAATAGGGAGAGAATAAACATGATAGTAAGCCTCATTCGGGGAAAGAGAGATGGTTGACTAAAGGGAGGGGTCTGCAGCTTTGGCAGGGATAAAGAGGATTCACACAAACTTAGGCCCTGGCTTGCATTTCAAATGACAAATGCTTGTTAAGCATTGTGATACAATACTGGTCACGGGCCCACAAGTGTCCCCAAAGCATCTGTGTTGAAGGCTTGGTTCTGGAGGCCTAGAGGGATGGGGGGGGGGGGGAGCTTTTGGGAGGGCTCTGATCTTCATTCATTTATGGCTTTCTGCATAGCTTTATGGGCTGGAGGACAGAGGCCTTTGTTATACAATTGAGGTCTCTCTGCCCCCTGGCTGCCATAATGTAACAGCTTTTTTCTGCTGTGTGCCATCCTCCCCACCTCCCCCAAGAATGATGGCCTCCCTTCCCCTGACCCCCTTTCACGATGTCCTGTCTTGCCACAGACCTCAGAGCGAGGGATCTAGGCGATCCTCCACACTGCAGCCACTGAAAGTACAAGCCAAAAAATAAACAAATAAACCTTCCTTTCTCATAAGTTGTTTATCTCAGGCCTTTTTCTCCCAGTAATAGGAAGCTGACGAAGCCAAACCAGCAAGGCACAAATTGTTTTGAATTTCCACTGACGTATTTATACACCAAAAACCTCATTCATCTCAGCTGCGATCGCAGCTCAAGAGATGTCTATATAGATGTAACGTTGAGCTATTTATGGAAGGATCTAAGTTTTGGAATTGCTGTGGGATCGCTGGGGGGGGGGGCGGGGGTCTCCCTGGGAGTGCTGTGTAGTTAGAACATAAAGAGAACTTGGCATTCACAGATTGATCAAAGATTCTGACAAATTAGTATTATATTAGTACATCTTTGGGCTAAGAAAGTGTCAACTATCTTAACAATGTCTGAACTTTATGTAGAAGTAAATCTGATAACCCCTCCACACTGGGGTTTTTTGTTATGTCAACTCTTCAGAGATGCAGACACATTCAATACTCAGTGTAAAGGTATTTTCTGATGAAAACTGGACTGGAGATGTGGCTCAAGTAGTAAGGTGCCAGCTGTGAGCAAGAACCTCTGAGCAAGCTGGACACTGGTGGTTCATGCCTGTAAGTTCAAAGCCAAGGCAGGCAAGAGAATCTGTGGGATTCTTTGTTGTTGTTATTGCTGGTCGTGGGACTGTCCCTCACCTTTTTTGCTCAAGGTTAGCACTCTACCACTTGAGCCACAGGCCACTTCCTCATGGGACTCTTATCTTCAATTAACTAGTACACCAGTAACAGTGGAGCGGTGGCTCAAGTGGTAGAGCACTAGCCAAAAAAAAAAAAGCTAAGGAACAGTATGTAGGCCCTGGGTTCAAGCCCCAGTATCAGCAGGAGAGGGGGAGAGGGAGAGGGGGAGAGGGAGAGGGGGAGAGGGAGAGAGAGAGGAGAGAGAGAGAGAGAGAGAGGCCCTGAGTTCACACACAAAACTGTACTAATTGCCTTTAGGAAAAAAAAACAAAAAACAACCCAGCTGTCACCAGGTAGCCCTGACTAACTTGGAACTTGCAATCATCTGGCCTCTGCTTCTGAGTGCTGGGGTCACAGGCATGTGGTCTGTCACAGGCTTGCGTCTGTGGGTTTTTTGTTTTTGTTTTTCGTTTTTTGTTGGTTGTGGGTCTTGAACTCTGGGCCTGGGCTCTGTCCCTGCCCTCTTCAGCTCAAGGTGAGTGCTCTACCACTTGAGCCACAGTGCCACTTCTGGTTTTCAGGTGGTTCATTGGAGATGAGTCTCATGGACTTTCCTGCCCAGGCTGGCTTTGAACCGAGATTTCAGCTTCCTGAGTAGCTAGGATTACAGGTATGAGCCACCAGAGCCTGGCTGGGTTTTTTTTTTTTGTTCTGTCTTTTGTTTCATCAGGCTTTAACCGAGGGCCTGGGCACTATCCCTGAGTTTCTGTTCTCAAAGCAGTGCTCTACCACTCCATTGCCAGTGTCTTGAATGTTTAATTGGAGATAAGAGTCTCAAAGGGACTTTTCTGCCTGAGCTGGCTTCAAACCACGATCCTCAGATCGCAGCCTCCTGCATAGCTAGGATTACAAGTGTGAGCCACAGGCTCCTGGCTTGTGGGTTTTTAGAAATTGCTTACAGACATCAGAAACACAAATGTTTAGGCATGCTAAAGATCAAACAAACGTAACTTGTTGGGAATAGATAGATTATTAAAGCCAGGTAAATAATTTCTCATTGAATCCAAGCCTCCTGTACTTCTGTTTTCTGCACGTTTAATTGCTAGGACTTCTACAATCTGTGAGGAGAACTGCTGTGCTTTCCCAAATAATGCTCTGAGT